CCTACAGATCTACAAAAAATCTTTAATTGCCAAGAAATTTTTACAATTAAAGGGAGAAAAAAGTCAGGAAACTATGAGTGATACTTGAAGGAAGATAAAGTTTGGTTAAGATTTAAACAAATTAAATTTTACCTTATCTGCTCTTAACTCTCATTTTCCAAATCATTTATTATAATTCTAAACTGAGATTCACAGTTCCTTCAGACACACGATACTTTCAAGAGGAAAGGTGATCACTGACAATTATGCAGTTTTTGATACATATTTTAATAAATTCAGTACAAATAAAAGTCACATAACCGATCATGACAAAGAATATACACTTTGGGAGAGGAAAAAATATGACTAAAGTCACAGACCATTATCTACGTTAAAATCTGAGAATAAATTAATAGGTAAAAAATAGAAATAAATGGTTGGATACAGCTCCCATATTATGGTTACCTAGTCAAGTCATCTGTTATTAACAGCAGGATAAAAAAAATATATCAGTAGAGGTCATGGCACACTTACACGCAGACACACAAACCCACAAAAATAATCATTATATATATTATTTATATTATCCTTGAATATATATAAAAATATATTTTTATATTTATATGTACACATTTATATATATATACACACACAATTTATCTATAATTTGTATATACTCCAGGTATTATACATTTGTCTTCTCATTTAATCCTCATAATCTAAAGAGGAAGACACTAAAATATTCCCCATTTTGCAGATGGGGAAACTGTGGTATAAAGAGGTGAAATAATTTGCTTGCAAACTTTGCCCAACTGTTGAACTAAAGAACCAGGCCTGGAGATTTATTTTCCAGTAATTGCAGGGAAAGGGTTAGGAACAGTTTAACCATCATCCCTATGACTTGTAAGCTTATAAACTTAATTTTGAGCATGAGACAGCCATGGCTCCAAACCACACCGCTACTGTCCAGTAGTTTCTCCAGTATGTCTGTGTTTGGTCAATTCGGCTTTCTGATCATGTCTTTAGTTCCTTGTTCATTTCTCTACTGGAAATAAGACCAAGTCATGAACGTAGCCCATGTGGATGAAGACCTGACCCACCTATAGCTAAGTCTGTCAGCACCCTGAACTAGGCATGTGATTTTTGGATGGACCTTCTCAGTCTTTAACTTGAATATTTACCTGACATGTACTGCTGGGACCTATCTGCAAAGCCCAGCTCCAACCCCACGAGTCTAATCTCTCCATGAACAATCTGAATTAGAATATTTCTTGAATTTCTTGAAAAGTCAGCATTTAATTATCACTGAAGGAGGCAAGCATTGCCCTTTGGTGGTCTCCACATAGCAAGAGCCTCAACTGGCTGCCCTCCTCTGCCAAGTCGTGACTATATTATTAAAGAAAACACTGCCACAGATATCAAATATCAACAGACTATATAATGTGTTTGTGACTGTGCTACGGTTGACCCTCGAACAACACTGGCTTGCACTGTGTGGGTCCACTTACAAGCAAATTTTCTTCCATCTCTGCCAATCCTGAGACAGCAAGACCAACTCCTTCGCCTACTTAATGTGAAGATGATGAGGATAAAGCCTTTATTATGATCTACTTCCACTTCGCAAAGAGTAAATATATTTTCTTTTCCTTATGGTTTTCTTCATGACATCTTCTTTCCTCTAGCTAACTTTATTATAAGAATACAGTATATAATACATATAACATATAAAACACATGGTAATCAACTGTTTTAATGTTATTGGTGAGGCTTCTGGTCAACAGTAGGCTATTAGTACTTAAGTTTTGAGGAAGTCAAAAGTTAGATGCAAATGTTTTAACTGCACAGCGGCTGGAGACTCCTAATCCCCACATTGTTCAAGGGTCAACTGTTTTCACAAGTTTATTTCAATATGAAATGAGAGAGAGAGAGAGAGAGAGAGAGAGAGAGAGAGAGAGAGAGGCAGGTTCTTGCTCTGTTGTCCAGGCTGGAGCGCAGTGATTCAATCACAGCTCACCCACAACCTTGAACTTTTGGGCTCAAGCAATCCTCTTGCCTCAACCTCCCAAGTAGCTAGGTAATTTTTAAATTTTTAGTAGTGATACGGTCTTACTAAGGTTGCCCAGACTGATCTTGAACTCCTGGGCTCAAGCAATCCTCCTACCTCAGCCTCCCAAACTGCTGGGCTTACAGGGGCCTTGAGCCACTGTGCCTGGCCACTAATTTTACGGAAAGTTTTCTTCTCAATTTTTGACACTTTACTGTGGCTACGGGAAAAAAAGGTGACTAATATAAACCTAACAATTACTATTTCAGAAGCATAAAACTGAACAAAGAATTGATACCATGTTAAAAAAATAATCACTTTTTAAAAAGCTAGATGATTTGTGTTTTAGCCCTGGCTCAGGTCCTAAGCAGTTTTACAACAGTGGCTGAGTAGGAACTTGCCTAAAGCCCAGTGCTCTCATCAGTTAAATGAACTCTTTATAATAATTCCTAAGGTTCCTACTGCTCAAGAACTCCAGTCCAAGCCTAGCTAACACTGGATACCAAATACCACTGCACGCTCATTTACTGAACTTAGGGATGTGTCACCCACATAAAGTTGTTCTCATGAATGTCTTCCATCTCATGGCTTAAATTAATAGTCATAATAACATATCAAATGTTTTTCTCTGTAATTTAATGGACCTAGATATATCTGACTAAAATTAACAGGTAACTTTGCTGGATGTTTAAAACAATTTGTTGATATTGGTTAAGAAGCATAATGTACCTAAACTGACAAGATGAAACTCTTAAGAATTAGATTTCACAGCTGAACAAAATTCAACAACACAGTAGATCTGCATATGAGGGAAAAGAACAGAGGCAACTTGAGGTGAAGAAGAACTCGAAGCACACATTTGGAAGAAGTACACTTTAAGACTCAGTCACTTGAATTACTCCGACTGAAAAACAATTCCATAAACACCATTCAGAGGTTGATTCTAAAACACTGAATTCCTGTTCCTTCAATACCTAGAGTACTTTCAAAAGAGCAACTGATGTAAAACCTCACTACAATGAGCACTGCACAAATTGAAACCATAAATAGCCAAGAGAGAAGAAAACAATCTAACAGGGTGGGTGAGAAGGGAGGGCGGTTGAGTATTCCTTATTCATGTGTTCAACAAATATTTATTAAGCAGTTATTATGTACCAAGTACAGTGTTAAGCATTGTGGATACTCTGATAAACAAAATATAGTCCTTTCCCGTTAAAACAATCTTCCACTCCATCAAAAAATAAATAAGAAAAGGAAAAAAAAAGGAAAATATCAATTTTCTCGACTTGGTATCCTCTTTTAACTTCCCCATCTTACTTGGCTAATTATTAACCATGTGTATGCCATGTATTTCTTTTGAGAAAGTGAAAGATTCTAAAATCTTCAAAATTTGTAAAGTAATTACAAAATCAAAAACTATAAGTAAAAAGAGTTTAAGAGCATGTTTTATTCTGAAAAATAAAATATTCTGATTTTTAGTTCTATAGTTTACTTTTCCTCTACAATTTCTGATGTTTTTTCAATAAGAAAAAAACTCACAAAACTAGGTGTACGAAAATACAGTACAATAATTTTGATGCCTATATCCAATTGAAACAAAATGTAATAGTCTGAATTGTGTGAGGCAGTTCAAAAGTTCTTTGAAAACATCCCCTTTATAGATAATATGACCTCAAATAGTTCATTTTAATCAATGTTTTATGTCACAGAGTGATATATTTATTATTGACAGGTGCTTAAAAATGCTTCTTCACTTGGTCATTTTCTATAAAAGTATCTGCAAGCCAGTCTAGACCAATGTCTATAGCTTGTGATTATACAGATCTGTACCGGAATGTCTTCAGGACATACAATTACTGTACACAGCACACTTATTCACACATTTAAATGGAAGTGAAATGTAATCTAAAAAATGTAAAGCTATATACTAGTTTCAAGAATACAAAAGTAAACAATAGGAAACAACTTTCATTTCATCAATGTATTAGTATGAGGTACTTTGCTTCCTCTCTCTCCTAAATCAAGTGTTCTGATTGTAATCGAGGATCAGAATGGGGACAGAAGAGGGAAAAGGGCACCTGCCGTTCACATGTGGCAAGAGGCTTGGACAAGAGGAATTTCTTTTCTCCCCTCGCAGTACAGATTTATACACAACTGAAAAAGTGCAGCTATGACCACATTTTAAGAATGCCTAAAAATGCCCAGGGGTCCAACTCCAATCACAGATATTTTAATCACTTGATAAAATGTTAAAGCATTTATTCCTTTCATATGAAGTAATTCCAAATATCCCAAACTGTACACCACAAGTCTCTATCTGAATAACATTCACAGAAAAAAAAAAAAAACTGTAAGAAATGTGCAATTTCCTTTTCTACAACAGAATAAACCATACAATGTTTATGTAAATCAAGCTAGCAAAAGAATAAGGTAAACAACACATTTCTTAATTTCCTTAATATAGCTGAAGGTGGTGTAGTGGCCACTCCACCTCTTTTCTTTTTTGAATGAAAATCTCTTTCCTGTCCTCTGCAACATGTTATGGAGGACCTTTAAGAATATAATGTACTGAAGCACAATTTAAAATAATTTACAATAATTTTCCAAACTATGTCCATAACCACCTCCACAACTGCTCCCACCTGATGGTTAAAATCTTACAGTATTAGCTTGAATTTCATCTCTGCCTCACATGTTTCAAGCAGGGAAGCAGATTTAGTGCCTCAGAACACTTTACAGGGTTTCATTATCAATCAGGTTATGTTCCCAGTGACGCTTTCAGTAAAATTATCTTATTCGAATGAACTCTCTCAGACTGAAGTAAACACAGCTGTAGCCCACTGCTCTCACATACTCTCCATTCATTTATTTCCTTTTTCTTAACTTAGACTTACAGCACGTGCCATAGAAAGAGTACATGTTAAATATTCCTGGAGTGTCACAATATGTAATACAATAAAACAGATTACAGCCCTACCTTTCTTTCACAGCAGTAGTGCCAAGCACAGGTACACCGGAGCAATCAATTTGTTCTGCAGACAGTAAGGCTTTCATAGAATACTAATGTAAAATCTCTTTTCTTTCTCCTTTGCCTTGACTCCCCAATGCCCAGGTCCCGACCAATACAAGGAGGAGGGCGGTATGTCTTCTGCTGAGATAACCACAACTACTAATCAAGTATACGTGTACAAGGGCACAGGATTAAACCTCCACCAAGCTTGAGTCAGGGTTTGAGAGCAGCTAAACACATGCACAGCATGGTCAAAATGAAACACACACACGCGCCCGTACACACACACGTGCCATGAAAATATAGATGTGTCTACTTCGGTGAACAAATTCATCACACTTTACCATGCCTCGTTTTTTTTTTTTTAAATCTCAGGGGCATAAAATTACCTCCTGTTGAACTGAGGACTTAGATTCAAGTGCCCAATGATTGTTTTTCCAGAAATGAGAACCATGATCTTTGTATTCAACTGTTAACCATTTTTAAAACTAGGCATTTTTCTTAATTGTACTATCCAGTGCCGTTTTACATGAATTTATCATTTCAGGTATTAACACAGGGTTAATAGACTCGGCATGGATTCTGAAGATTTTACACTTAAAAATGTATTGTAATAGCTCAAGTCGACTTTCTCAAGAAAAGCATGTGCATTACCAGTAACAACACATACAACAGATTTTCATGTATCTTGAAGTATTTACATTATGAATAATCCCAAGCTATTTGAAAAATATTTTCAGGTCTCAAAAATTATTTAAAAAGTACCTTTAACACTTCATAATTATGGCCTCACAGTGGTATGGCTGATCTTATAAATCTAGAGTTCTGGGGTTCTTTTCAATTACACATTTTCACTTGGCTTATTTTTCTTTTATTCAAAATATGAAAAGCTATGCCAATCATTGAGTAGGGGAATGACAGACGCTGTTAAATGTTTTTTAACAACATACATTGCCACATTTTAATTTGCCTGCCTTAATTTTCAAACAACTCTTGAAAAGTATTGATAGTTAAGGGGCTGCAAACTAAGCAAAAATTAAGAACAAAATACTCATAATACTCAAAATACTGAAGAAACTTACTAGGAGGCATCCTACACCAATTGTTTTCATGTAAACAATTGTTCTAACACTGCTAAAATACATGTGTCTCCTTTTGCACTTTTTCTATTTCTTAAAAAAAAATCAGTAGGAACAATTAAGAAATACTAGGGACTCAATGAAAAGTATTGCAATAACGTTTAATCGATACTGATGCATTTGTCCTTGACACACTGACCATGTCATCAGGCTACTGTCATGTGATATCATGTCATTTCTCCACCTGGCTCATGACCTTGTCCTCTAAATGACCTAACGCTTCCCTCAAGTAGCAGGAGGCCCCTCCCCGCTGTCTCAGCAAGGTCGAACGGGTCAGCGTGTCCTCATCTATAATCCACCACCATTTGTCAGCAGGGAGGCTGGAGGAGGCAGGCTTGCTACAAGGGGAGAATGCCCAATTAGGCAGCTGTCACACAAAGCAGAGGCTGCAAAATTATCCCCTGTCAAAAGAAAGAGCAGCTGCGGGTGCCAATTACAGCAACCTTTCAACCCTTTAGGTACTGGAAACTACACAGAAGTAAATGAAGAACAATTAGTGATAACAAATCGATGAATTAGGACAGTAAATTAGAAATTACTAGCAGGTGAGCTTGGGTCATACATGACATTTAGGGCACACCAGACTCCAGGCAAGGGCAGGATGCTATGAATCACACTAACCATTTCCTTGCATATAGATTTCCCCTCCAATACTTTCTTTTTGCAAATCTGAAATCTTTAAAATACCCTTATATAAAACTATGGATTTTCACGGACCGCAAAAATTGTTTCTCAATAGGAGAAAAATCCTTCAGAATAAGAAGTCTAGTTCATTCTAACTTGTTCTTACACAGTCCATCATGTTATCCCCTCAAACAAATTTCTTCAGTGCGGCCCACAAATCCAAAATATCAATTTAAATCATCACACTTAAAATATTGTACTTGTCCTGATTCTACTTCAGTCAAAAAGCAACTGGGTATAAATTCTGAGAAAATTGTTTTGCTAATATCATAATGTTGAAGGTAACTTTCTCTACACAATGTCATTTGGTGGACAAAAAAATAACTGCCACGTGTGCTTCTATACACAACATACATAAAGAAAATATCAACCACAAAATTACTCTTAGATTGTTCTGCTCCAATCCTGCAGAGGTGATACACATTCAGTCTCAAGCACAGAAAGCCAACGCACTTGGACTTTGTCCAACTAATGTATTTGGTAGTTAACATTCGCAGGCAGCGAAGGAGGAACATGGGGAAACAAGCCGCAAGAACGGGAGCAGATCCAATATGGCTACTGAGTGTTCATGGACATGGTCTCATTGTGCCTTAAAATGTCATGCGTGTTCAGAAACAACTTTCTTAAAGTTCATTTTTCACTAAGATTACTTTTTTTTTTTCCATAGAAAAAAGATGGTCTTCCTACACCAACTCTTTGAAAGCTGAAAAACCTGAATGATATGTGCTGTTATTTCTAAAGAGGCAGGAGAAAATTGCTCAACTAGACTTCCAAATCACAAATGGATAAAAGTGAGGAAGAGAGAAGGTGAGGCAATAAAGAAGCACTTTACTCACCCACCTCCAACACATTATAAATAAATCACAGTTGCCAGAGGGAAGAGTGTGTAATTCCTAGTTCCTAAATCAAGCCATTTGATAATGCTTCTAGGAGATAGATGTCATGGGGAGAAAACATCTCCATTAAAAGTTTATCTGAGAATTTGATTTATAAATTATATTTCATCATTTTAAAACTGGGCATTTATAAATTCTCTGAAGTTTAGAATGCAACCCTCTAAAGTCAGACATACGGAATTCAAAGCAATGACAAGTAGATAGGAATGAAGGAGTTAATGCCTTTAGAATTCAGCTTCCATCATACATGGGTGACTATCTCTTTAAATAATTTAAATCCTCTCCATCAACTACAAAGCTGTTTTGAAGCCATTTAGCTTTGTTCTTTACATGTGTTCTAATTAAGAAATGACCTTGTCATCACACACACCAGAAATCCGGGATTATTTCCTACAGCAAAAATTCACAGAGCCCCCCCAAAAGAGAAAAAGGGGGGTAAAAAAGACTTCTTCCTCAGTTCCTCACTAAAGGAAGTTGTTGGTTGGTTGAACGCTGAGGCAGTTTCACCGCATAATTTTTTTTGTTGTTGTTGAATGTCACAGGGCGGGTTAGTGTGACCTTGAGCTGCATCAGCAGCACAGCAAGGGTCGAGATGCCTGCAGGCGCCCTTGTACTGGATTTGCAAGACAAAAACCTTCAAACTGGCTGAAGGACATCTTAAATCTCTTCAAAGGTTTTCCGAACTAATCTGGGCTGCTCTTAGCAGGATCTGTGCCAGTGTGAGAAGCAAAATTAAAAACAAGGTCTTTGACAGGATGTTGTCTCCTCTTAACCCTTCCCAAGCAGAAGAGAACAAACCACCAGCATTCTGGAGAGAGGGTTTACCTAGAAGCATTCTTTCATAACAAATTATGTAAGCAGACAATCACAAAGAATGGGGCAGCTATTAGTTCCCAAAAGTAAACAACCCTTCCATTGTGCTTATTAAAGAATTCAGGTCGAATTCTTTCTGGACTATATTTCAGTGTAGCGAATGTAAAACTTAAAGCTCTATTTGTATCTTTCAGATTTGTAGCACAGTGATAAGTTAAGACTAAAAAATATTTCCATCAATATTTATCTCTAGAATTTTCATTTTTTAAAAAATACATGGTTTTAGTTGGTTAAGTCATAAACTTCATGCATACTGCATACAGCTTACTAAGATTACAGGGAAGGAAAATTACATTATTGCATGTTCACTAAATTTCTTATTCCCAACGTGATGAATTCATTCTTAAGACAGGAAAAAAAAATCATTAGAACAGTGAAAGTGACACAAGTAAAACAAGGTAAGGTAATCTCGGTCTTGTTATAAAAACATCAGCATGACATTTGATGTTTTAGCATTACCAGGGCATGGGCCAAAAGAGAAAGTATTAATGCCAGTAGAGGGTGTTTGATTCCTCCCTGGCAATGCTCTCGAAATTCAATTTAGTAGCTAAAGTAGGCAAATTTTTAAATCACTACTCTAGAACAACAAAAGGAAAAAGATGGATAAAATAGTCCTGGCTCTCAAGAAATAAATAGTCTGGTGGAACAAAGAGCTGTAATGCTTAAATCGCAATATATCCTAAAATCAGTGTGTCTCCATCTATAACATGCTGGTTTGCCACCATCAGATATAAGGTATGTCATGATTAGTTCTAAAGAGTATTTAGTGTAAGTATTCCGTGTAAGTACAGAATTTAATAAGGTCTAAGAGGTTGCAAATTATTCCCTTTTAAAAAAACAGACTAAATAAATTCAAGATAACCTGGGTAATAACCACACTTTCACTCACTTGGATTCAGTTATGTTTTCCTAAACAGGACAGGAAAAGCACAGAGCAATAATACCTCATGAGTAAATAAGACCCGAGAGGGCACAGCGCTGGTGATTTTCTTCCTTAGTCTCTGTGCCAAAGGAGAGAGAGTATACACTGTGCTAAATGCAATGACCGAAATATCTAAAAAGTGCTCTGGGAACACAGATAGGCTGTAACTAGGTTTTTTGGTTCATACGTGCACGTGCAGGTGGTGATCAGTGATGGTTAAAAAATGAGTAAGGGCTAGCCAGGCAGAAGAGAATGGCAGCCATTCTAGGGTCCAGAAATAGCACTCAAAGGCAAGGAAGAGCTGAGTGTGACACAGGAAGCGTGGCAGTCCAATGGGAGTGGAGATTAGGCTGGAAATGCAACTGGGACCAAGGACTTTGAATCAAGGCCATGCCAAGAAGCTGGCCTTTATCTGGTGGGTTTCCTTACAAGCAATGGTATTATGAAAAGCATATTAGAAAAACAAAACCAGAAGCTATGGAGTTGTTGACAGCTTGGAGGGAAGAAGAAACTGTAGATCAGTCAGTGCACTACCATGGCCAAAATAAGGTAAAGGCAGGAGAATTGAAGAAAGAGACAGTTCTGGAAACAATGAAGGCTGCTTTGACTATTTAGAAAGCAATTTGTTTAACATAAACAGTGCTATAACATAGGGTGTTATTTCATAGCAACTTTATTAAATCAAAGATAAAAATGATAAAAATAATTACTATATCTCAAGCCTAGGTTTGATAAACACTGTGCTAAAAAATGATTTCTATAAAGTTTCAAAAAAGTAGTAATTCTTATAGGGGTGCTTTAAAGAGTCAGAATCAGATCCTGTTTGAAATCTGAATTCTGTACATTTCAACTATCAAGCTTCATTAAGTATTAGGTAAGGGTTTTGCTTACTAAGACAGTAACATGTACCTTTTCAGAACAGTATGAGAGCATATTTCCCTTGGCTATAAGACAGAGATGTCCGACTTAAATTATAGTGTGGTTCTTGGAGCTAAGAGTTCTATCCAACACTAATGGGAAAAAAAATTAACTCAGCAAACATTTATTGAGTCTCGACTATGTTTAAGACACAGAATTAAAAAATAAAAACTACCCAACATTCTATCAGCTTCATGTTTTTAGATGATCACTCATAATGATATCAAGTCCCCAAATTCCAGCTTGCATGACATCATCACACAATAAAAAGACTATGAGTAAAAAGAATATGAAGCTGTCAGTAAATCAAGTGTCGGAACTAGCAGCCATCTTGGTATTCCCATCCAGCTGAAAGGTACACAACGCATTCCCAGAACTCTCAGGGAAGACCCAGTACCAATGTAATTTGAAGAGAGTCGTCAAATACTGTAGAGACTGACTGTCCCGCTAAAACCTCAGAAAGAATTTAACAGAGTATCAGCCAAGGTAAGAGGGCAGGGAGTAAAACAGAACAGGAGTCACCAGGGCCAAGTAAATATCTGCCAGAGAGCAGACTGTACTCTCAGAAAGGGACCGCCAGCATCAGGGATCAGGTTGAGGCAAGTGGAGGGGAAGGTCACGCAAAGGAGAGAAGGAAAGACTTGAGGGGAAGCCTAGTCAATCCTGCAAAATAACACATCAACTTCATTTTGTGAAATTATTTTTTTAAATGACCAAACCTCTGAAACCTCTGGAGTTGGGTTTCAGAAGTATTAGAAGGTACACAAATCATAAAAAGGACTTGACAGTCAGGGTTATTGACAGGGCACAACTAGGAATGACCTTACCGAGTATCCACAAATAAAATGACTTCTCCTTGAGTAAGCATCTCTGTCTTACAGCTGCCAAGCCAACGCTGGCAATAAGTTCCAGCACATTCTAGGTCTAGACATTAATAGAAAAGTGGGTAATATGATATGCCGTGCAGTTATTAAAAAAAAACTTATTAATCTACAAACACAAAAGCAAGGTTAACATTATTGGAATAGAAAAACAGAAGATTCTGTTTGCAATTAGACAAGTGAATTGTCATAACACAGCAGTTCTCAAAGGGTGGTCCAAGGATGCCAGGGGTCCCCATGACCCATTCAGGAGGCACACAAGGTAAAGACTACTTTCATAATACTAAATGTTATCTGGTTTTTGGTATCATTACTTCATAAGTATACAGTAGAGTTGTCTAGAGGCTATATATATGGAATGCATCCTTGTGTAACTCTTGTCTCAAATTTTTTCTCAGTTTAAATTTCTAATACGATAAACATCAGTTGATATGAATCTCATAAATAAATCTCTCTTGGGTCCCTGATAATTTACGAACATAAAGGTGTCCTGAGGCCAGGTGCGCTGGCTCACGCCTACAATCCCAGCACTTTGGGAGGCTGAGGTGGGCGGATCATGAGGTCAGGAGACTAAGACCATCCTGGCTAACATGGAGAAACTCCGTCTCTACTAAAAATATAAAAAATTAGCCAGGTGTGGTGGTGGGCGCCTGTAGTCCCAGCTACTCGGAAGGCTGAGGCAGGAGAAAGGTGTGAACCCGGGAGGCGGAGCTTGCAGTGAGCCGAGACTCCACCACTGCACTCCGGCCTGGGCCAGACAGCGAGACTTTGTATTTGGGTGGGGGGGGGGAGAAAAGTGTCCTGAAAGCAAAAAGTTTGAGAGCTACTGCTAGTAATAGTTAAAAAATGCAATGCTGCTTTTCTTCAAACATAATCTCTTCTTTCTAATTTCAGGAATTTCCACTATAATTATGGTAGATAAATATGGTTCTCTGTGCAGAATGTCCCTAAGACCAAGATGAGGAAAGAAAAGAAAGAACTTTCTAAAAAGATGAGTAGACTAAGGAGGATATGAAAAATCTCCCATCTCTGTAGTCTCTATTATTCTGAATTTACCATACAAGAAGTAACAAATGTACAAATATTTATAAAGAAGCTGCTATGTTGTTAAGAGCTGAAGTTACAAGGATAATGAAGTGATAAACCAGCCCTTAGTGGGCTCACGATCTCATCAGGAAAAAACAGAATCAACAACATAGTGAGATACTACTGAAAAGAAGGCATGGACAAAGTGGAGAAAGCACTGAAAGACATGATTTTTGGGAGAAGACTGAGTTATAAGGCAGGGAACACCGTTTTTAGTGAAGGTGCTCTACAGAGGCTGCATATGAAGTGACTTTAGGGACAATCAAGGCTTTCCCAACAGGAAAAGAAGCTTCAGTATTCTTTAGAAAGTAGGAGGACCATCAGCCCAGTCCAGGAAGCACAATGGCACAGAGTATGTTCTAGAAACTTTAAGTAATCCCCTCCAAGAATAAACATTGCCAGTAATGACAAACGTTTATAGAACATGACAAAATAATTTGATGGCATGTTCTATAAAAGTTACAGATAATTAAATTTAATGATGAAAGGTGTGGACTTAGATTTTGTAGTCTTTTTAAAAACTTCTAATCTGTCATAGAAGCTTTTTAAAAAGACAATAAAAGTGGGTTACTAAAGAAAATAAAATGGAAACAGACAAATTATTGGCCTTTACTGCAGATATTTTGAGAAGCACTAGCTTGGAGGATGGTCTACAAGATGGCAGGTGGGGAGGGGGTGCAGAGAGGGGCAGCAACAGCAGGAGACAAAGTTTCAAGCTAGAAGCTTACATAGACTTTACTGTGAACAATTTTTTAATAAATAAATGCAAAAAGGAAGCAAACAAGGTTTGAAAATTACTCATATACCTCTAATCCAGAATGAAGAAGATCTAAATAAAATGCATAAGCTCTGATGTTAGAATCAAACAATTTTCAGATATGCAAACCGCAGGCCACACTGTTGAAGGGCAAATGTAGCAGAGAATCAAGGAGACTATCAGGTTCATAGCAGTTAATTTCAGTGAAAAAAGACCTGAAGAAGAGAAAGTAAGAAGAGAAAGTGTATTGACAGTCTGATCAACACTTTCAAAATTATTTTGATTACTTCACTTGAAACCTTGCATGGAAGAGAAAAAAAATTCTGAGTTGATATGGAGGCTTAGAATACAGGAATTTTGTAAAATCTAAGTTGATATGGAGGCTTCGCATAGAGGGACTTTATAAAATCCGAGTTGATATGGAGGCTTAGTCTAGTAGGGATCTTCCTCCCCAAACAACGTAAGTTATATCAATTAAGATACTGAGTAAAAGACTTAAAGAAAAGTCAATTCTTTAAAGATATCAAATTAAAAAAAAAAGTTAATTGTATTAATGTTTCCCATAGTAACAGTAAGCTAGGATTAAGGAAGGTCTATTACTTTTCCGTGTTTGTTATGCTATTGCAGTTGCTACATGATGTTTGATCAGACAAGTAACACAAGCAAGCTGGAGTTTCAGGAAGACCTGGTGGCTGTGAAAGACTGGAGCAAGGACGTCAGTGAAGAGGCCAGCACAAGAGCTCCAGATGAGAAATGGTAAGACTCTGAAGTAAGATGGTTGGCTGTAAGAAAGGGAATTAAGAGTGGATGGAAGCAATGCTGGAAACTAACAATGACTCATTTGAGCCAAGCATACAGATTTTCTTACCAGGGTTATCCACAAGGCCAGGAAAACACTAGTGAGAAGGACAAATTGGTTTACGGCAATTAATTCCAACTAAGACAACTTACCCACACTATAAATTGATCTTTGTTTCACCAGTATCATGTTCCTACTAAAAATCTGGTGTGAAAGTTTAAACACATTTTACAAAGACTTATTTCTTAAATTTTAAAAAATGACTTTGAGGAGTATTTTATGAAGTTGGAAAGGCATTTCATGTACACAATTAGCCTACTTTACCAACCTTGTAACCCAACTCATCAGTACTGGCCCTTTTTTAAAAACAATTTTATATACATACTTTATGTCTGACATGAAAGTTTTAAACTCAAGACATCTATTCTACTAAAATAGTTGTCAAAAATTTAATCAAACTAGAAAAAAGTACAGTAGAGAACTCTTCCTAGTGGAAAATCGTGACATATAACAATAAAAATTCCGTTAGAGAAAATAGTATATTCAAGTGTTTAAGCTAAATTGATTTACAGTCATTCAGTTAACACTACCCAAGATATTCCCTGTTTTGGTATCAGCAATTTCTATCAAAATTAGCTAATAAATACTAGACACTGAGATAAACAGCACAGAAAGTACATAAAGTCCTATAAAATATAATAAAGGGTGAATTAATTTTGTTAGTTACTCCATATGATGATTGTATCTCTTTCAAAAGAAGGAGCTAACAAAAGGGCAAGAGAAACATGGCCTAAGACACTAAAAGGTTTTTGAAACACTTCATTCTTTATTTAGTTTGCAATATTCAATTAATTACATCCTTTTTCCTCCCAACCATTATCTTTGAGCTTTCAGTCAAAAAAAATTACTATACTTACAAATATAACATGAGTGTTTTGCAGGGTATGACAAACTATAGTAAAAACCTCATAAAACATTAGTTTAGAATCCTCAACTTGTCAAATACTCATCTCCTGAGATATACCAGATCCTCCTTTTGGAGAGACAGTCCACTGGGTTAATGAAAGGCTTATTGAAAAGACATTCTATACTTTGACTCAACATCTCCCAAGCTTATTTGACCATGGTCTGCTCGTTCAAAAGGAAAACCTATTTAAAATAACACATTTTAGAAAAAAACACATTTGACATAATCATCTTTAAAATCTAAAAACATTTAAAAATATGTGAAAGGAATATAGAAAAT